TTATGGATGATAACTGGATGTTGACGTATCGGTCAACCCAGTTCAGTTGCAACTATTTAGGTAAAGAAGGAGCATGTGGCGTGTCGGTGCGCCTGGGCAGTCTTGATGTCAATGCGTGTTAGGGCGTGTGGGCATGAATGACGTCGGTTCTTCACTGATTTTTCACCAGCGGATTCGTCTCATCTTACTCTACACAATGGTATGTTCAAAAACACATTTTGAGTACTTTGATTTTTAAGTTTGGATCAAATACCCTTTTTTTCAAGAACAAGCTCTGATACCAGTTATTGGGACATTCCAGAACTCAAACACACACAAATTTATATGGTTCAACAACTTGCCTATTCCATGGAGCTACTGATTTGTATTAATCAATCAAGAAAACAATGCAAACAAAGAATGAAGAGAAAACTCTTCTCAACTCAACTCTATCCACTTAAGCTCTCTTTATTCTTCTGCTTTTGTTCTCTCTGTTCTCTGTAACTCTCCTTATCTCTTCAACGTGTCTGATTATAGACAAAGCAGGGGGCAAGAAATCATGGCCATAAATCATGGCAAAATATTTGTATCATTTATGCCTCCACTTTATGCTAAGTAAAATATTATGTATTTCTACTAAGCATATATAGTAGAAGTGGAGCATTACTTGTCTCCATGATACTAACAGAACCATCCTTCAAAAAATACCGTAAGAAATTAAGAGTACAAAGAATATGTAAGAAAGCAAACAAAGAATGCAAGAAAGAAGATGAAATTATACGGTGCAAATTAAGAAATTAAGAGAACCTGAGGAGGAGACCGACTCTGCCATGCGGTTCAATGAAGAGGAGCTCAACGAATAAGAAAAAAAGATCTATTAAAGATGGAAAACGAATTCGGCACATCTTCTTGGAATTCTTCTTTAATTTATTGAGGGAATGTTTGGAGATGATGTGGTCGTTTCTTGAAGAGGAAAGGAGAGAATATATGCTCTAATGTTTTAGAGGTTGCAGAGGGAACAATGCTTTAAGGCTTTTAAGTAGTTATTTCTGGTGAATTTTAACTAACTAACTAACTAACCAAACCGCTACCTTCTCCCTCCCTCCCTCCCTCCCTCCCTCTTCCTCTATAAAAGCAAGAAGCCACTCTCACCCTCTTACTTTCTCTCTTCATTTTTCCCGAGAAAAACAAAAGGAAAAGAAAAGAATCTATACAAGAAATCAACCATGCAGAGCTCAAATCCCCCTCAAATTCCAGCAAACGAATTTCTGACTCTCAGACGAACACTTTCCTACCTTTCTGCTGTAGTTCTTTCAATCTGCTTCTCAATCTGCCTCCCTCAATCCCCATTTCATCTTCAGGTACTCACTTTCTCTCACTTTCTTGCATTTTCTTTCACTTTCTTTTCATGCAATTTGAAGGTCAACTTTAGTCACTATTAGAGTGATACAACTTCCTTTCACGTTCTTGCATTCTCTTTCTCTGATCACTTATGGGTTTTGAAGGTCAACTTCAGTTCTTTAAGGATTACTATTACAGTGATACAACTTTCATTCACTTTCTTTCTTTGATCGTTTATGGGTTTTGGAGATCAATTCTGGTTCTTTAAATATTATGCCTTTTCTTGCATTGGTTTTTGATATAGGTGCTGGCGCAGCCATTGCGCGATTATCCTCGATATTCTGATGCTGCTGAGCTCCCTCACATTCCGAAGGCTTTCAGGATGGACTATATGAAAATGGAGAGGAGCTTCAAGGTCTTTGTGTACCCACATAAGACCACCGCCTGTGATAAAACAAGGAAGATTGATGGCAAGTATGGGAGTGAAGGATTCTTCTATCAGAATCTCAATCAGAGTAGGTTCTTGACCAGAGATCCTGATAAAGCTAACCTTTTCCTTATTCCCACTTCTTGTCATTCTCTTCCTGCTAAGGTATAACTTTCATGCATGTTGATATGGTTCTTGGAAGTTTGATTGCAACTGATCAAGGAATTTTGAGCGTCTTATAGTGATAACTATACGATCTCAAGGACAGATTGTATAATTAATGAAGGGTCTGATGTTCATATCGTTATGTACAGGGGAGATCGGTGGATGAAAGGGCTATTGCTGTCCAGCATTTTGTCAACAGCCTTATTTCTGAGTATCCTTATTGGAACAGAACTTTAGGTGCTGATCACTTCCTCATAACCTGTGCAGACATTCATGTGACTGCTAGTGAACGAATTTGGAATCTTATGAAGAACTCAATTAGAGTTATGTGCTCTCCAAGTTATAATGTGGAATATGTTCCTCATAAGGATGTTTCTCTCCCACAAAGTGTGCAGCCATTTAATGTTTCTGTCTCACAAATCAGGCCGCCACTTTACGCTTTTATTGCACCAACAACACAGCCATCAACTCTTCCTGCTGCTAAATATAACATGAAGAGCAGGTACCGATACCCTTTATGTCCCTGGACTATACTAGAGCAGGAATATAGTAAAAATTGAGGACTACTTATCGATTTAGCATAACATTTAAAGGGCATGAATATGTTGCAGGGCTATTCTAGGTTTCTGGAGAGGTCTTAAAGAAAATTATATAAGAAAGAGTTTGGTCGATGCCTGGGAGAATGACTCCGAACTTGACATAAAAGGAATCCAAACAGAAGCTAGTACTACGGAAATACGTCGGCTGTACCATAAGAAGTTCTACAGCTCAAAGTTTTGCATCTGTCCTGGAGGCCCTCAGATCGATGGTGCTATAGCAGTTGCAATTCATTATGGATGCGTTCCAGGTGATAGAGCAATTCTTCTCTCATATCTTCTCTTGTATTGTATAATTAAGCCTTTTTTTACAATTTGTTTCCTAAGCAGTCCGTGTACCTTTCTGCAGTTATCATGTCTGATTACTTTGATTTACCATTCAACGACATTCTTGATTGGAAGAAATTCTCTGTAATCCTCAAGGAGAGTGATGTGGATGGACTGAAGCGAATCCTTTTAAACATACCAGATCAAGAATATCAAGCCCTGCAGACCAATACAGTCATGGTACTTCACTTGTGAAATTCACTCCGCAAAATGCCTCTCCTGAGGATTAGTTTCATATATATCGTTTTCCTCGAATGATTCTGAACTGTCTCATTTCCTTAATTGCCTCTACTACTGAATCAGGTCCAGGATCACTTTCAGTGGAATCTACCTCCTGTCAGACTTGATGCATTTCATATGGTTATGTATGAACTTTGGCTCCGCCGTTATGTTACCAAGTATTAGTGAGTTGGTGAAGCTTGATCCAGCGGAATCACAGTTGAAAACCAGTCTGGAAGTACCAACCATAAAGATAAATCTTTGCTTGTTTTTGATCCATTCCATTTTTCATGAACATATTTCAATTTTCAAATAGATGTCAGATGAAGCCTTTCTATTCATTTTCCATCTAATGAATTGATGCATTTCCCTCATAATAACACTTCAGCTTTTGTTTTCATATTTGATGTTCGTATCAACAGATGCCCATGAGGCTTGCGCTTCAAAGCATGTATTTAAGCCGAGAAAAAAGCACGCGTATTTGATAAAAAAGAAAGCACAAAACAATGGAAAGAAGTTAATAGGAAAATCAAAGCTCAGCCAATACGTAATTCACAGGGCTGCAATTTTATGGAATATATAAAAGATAATGAATGGAATGTCTGAAGCCTAAAGTAACCTATAAGCAATCTGGCGATGAACTTCAACTGCTTGGTGAACTGAATTATACAATGCCTTATCAAGACACTTCAACTCGCTTTTCTCTTAAGACTCAGTCCTTCATAAATCTCCAGAAGATCCAATTAAGTTCCCGTCGATTTTGACATAAAATAGATAAAAGATAATCACGTCAAGTTAAAATAGGTAAAAATCACGAACCTTAAGCAACAACAATCACGAACCTTCAAGTAAGATCTCTACTCATCCTTCTTACTGTCGTTTTATAAAGAAGAAGGTGACAATAAAAGGAGAAATGCGCAGTTGGTAAATGGCAACTTGAAATTCTGAAAACTTTATGGCAGAGGAACCCTAATATTGTACTAGAGAATTCACCAGGTGAGGAAAATAAATTCAGGGACTGTTTCATGATTTGTTTCTACTTTTTATACTTCTTATTTTTAATTCCCAATAAAGTTAAACTGAGACATGGGGTTCACGGTTTAGCTTTGGTTTACTCCTAAAACTTTTAAAAAGATTGCCCCAAGTATCGATGGGATTACCTCGAGCAAAAAAAGAAAAAGAAACAGTCTTTAAAAAGCAACCCCAAACGTAGCTGGGAAGAGTAACTCCAAGAGCAACCTAGATCAGATGGCCAAGCAGACAAACAATAGAACATAGAGGGGAAGAAAGAAACAGAGAAATGGAATGAAATCTTCAAGGAAAACCAATGAGTGAGATTAGTGAAAGCCATGTAGAACCTGTCGAGGAAATCAAAAGCAGACACCGAAGAAAATCCTACTGACGTCCCGCCGGTAGAATATCAGGATTATCTGAATATAAAGAAAAAATATTCAAGAATGACTCAAAAGAACATATAACCTATTTAATACACTTAACTAAGGGTCTATTTCAAAACGAGTTGAAGTGTATAAGCGAGAAAAGCAGAAGTTTCATCGTCAGATTGCTAACAGGTCACTTGAAACTTCAGACGTTCCATTTCATTGGCTTTTCGATATTTCATAACATTGCAGCCCTATCATACATAGAGAAACATTGAGCAATTGTCTTGAAACCTTTTGAGGAGAGGAAGTGTCCCAACCCGAATCCCGGATTCATGACCGGTACATAGGCAAGGTTCCCCTCCAAGGTTCCATACCTATACGAACCCAAACTTACACACAAACTTATCCTAACTCAATCAGAGTTCAACACAGCATTAATAACAAAATCAACTTCATAATATAATTGAATTGTCTTAATACAAGAGTTAATATAATTTTATAGTTTTGGAGCACTAATTAGGCATAAAGGAAAATGTACGAATTACAATCAAAAGAGCAGGTTCTGAAGGTCCAACAAAAGTGACCTGCTATCAAGCTATAAGCCTGAAAATGATAAATAATGAGAGTGTGAGTT